ACCGCATATTGACTAAAATGGGTTTGTGTATTCTGTCACCTGACCCAAATGCAGTCATTGTTGATTTTTGATTTGCGGGGTGGCATGCAACCTCGATCAGTCTCATACAGGAAGTGAGTCGTCATCCAACAGCAGAAAGGAGATGCTTCCCAAACCCATCACCATAGTGACAAGCGAGTCATCGTCTACTTGCTTCGTGCGGTCGGAAGAGTTTAGTTTTGGATCCAGCCATGCTGTAACCACGCAAACACCTGCTCAGGTAGCACACCACCTCCTGCTCTAGCTGTAGTTTACTGACAAGACCATACCACTGCACTGAGAATAATGTGCACATCTTGATATGTAACTGAATTTTCAGTTATTTGCACATTTTCTCATCAATAAACAATGTAATAATTTCTGCAGACAACCTAGAAAGAGGTTTGTGAGCTGTTTTAGATCCCCCCCCCCAAACAAACAAACAAACAAACAAAAAAAAAAACAACTGTTTGGGTTGATTTTTTCCCCCTCTGCCACTGTTAAGTCCATGCAAGTTTATTTGTTCTACATTGAGAATGCATAAAGTGAGATTTTAACAGGTGTGGCCTTTTCTATTTCTTGTGTATGAATGTGGGATATCTGAGAAATGAAAACCTTCTATAACCACTGCCATAGTACACAATGTTCCTGACTCACTCTGTAATCCTACACCCTCTCCACAGATCCACACCAGGTCGGGCCAGCACCAACTCTCACAAATGACGGCTGTGTTGAATCCCCCGGCGCCCCCGCCCCCACCTCCTGCTCCACCCACTCCTCCTGTAGGTCCCCCAGCCTCATCTCCCCTGTCCCCCCTCTCGCCCACTATTTCATTGCTGGAGGAGGGAGACCTGCACAGTGTGGACCCTTGCAAAGACCTGTGGGGTTCTCGAGGTTATGAGGATTACAGACGGGCAGGGGCCACAAGGACTATGGTTGGGGGGCTGACTGGCGGTGTGGTTGTTGGTGGTGGAGGAAGCCTGCAGGACAAGTCAGAGCTGTGCGTGGTTCGCTTTGAGAAGGAGCTGGCGGGAGTGGGTTCGGCGGGCTGTGATGTGACTGTGAGCCTGGACAGTAAAGCCTCCCAGCGTTTATCCTCATCGTCACCCATCTGTATGTCCATGCCCAATGCTGTATCCGGCGTGTCCTCAGGTGCCGGTTCACCCCAGGAGACGGGTAAAGGCTCGCCGTCGCCCTGCTGCATCCACACATCGCTGGCCACTCCCCGGTCGCGGACTCGTAAGAGAGGAGGAGGGGCCAGTAGTAGTGGTGACCCAGGAGCAATCTCTCCCGATGATGACAGCCCGTGCCCTCAGGCTTCATCGTCATGCTCGTCTCGCTGTGTGTACTGCCGCTCTGTTTTCAGTGCTTCAGAGAATGGGCGGGGCCGATGCAGAGATGCCCCAGACCCGGCCCTGCACTGCCTGCGCCAGTGGACCTGTGTGTGGTGCGCAGAGAGTCTGCTCTACCACTGCATGTCGGACTCTGAGGGAGAGTTCTGGGAGCCTTGTTCATGTGATGACTCAATGGGGGGCCACCCGCATCCCCTCTGCTGTGCCCGCTGGTTGGCCCTCCTGGCCCTGTCTCTCTTTGTGCCCTGCATGTGCTGCTACCTGCCTTTGCGCGCCTGCCTGCGATGTGGGGAGAGGTGTGGCTGCTGTGGGGGAAAGCACAAGGCAGTCCGATGAAGCCAGGCTTTTGGGAGGGAGGGGTTTCCTGGACCGAGGGGGTTTGGGTATTGAGAGAAGAGAGCATCCGTTAGGAAGCAGAAGGTTGGCCCTAAATAGGAACAGTGCTCTCAGTAGACCCAGACCTCTGGCCCGCCAAAGCCCCACAGCCTTCCGCTGCATTCGGCTCTTTCTCTTTTCAACCTGGGGCCTTCCTCACTGGTCCATGCCTGCTGTAGGTGCATTGCACTCAGACCAGGCTCTGTGGGAGTTATAGTGGATTTATTGAGGAGTGGCTGATCTAGAGTTAGCTGTCAGTGACTTTATCACAGAAAGAAGGTGGCAGAGGCAACAGTGAAGTGTACACTGTTTCAAATGTCCGTTTTTTTTATTTAGAAAGGAAAAAAACTCAAAAAACAAAAGATGTTTATATATATGATTGTTATAATTTTAATTGGTATATTTTATTAAATGTAAAACATATTGACAGAATCCCCAAATGGCACACACATTCACGTACTCACAAACATGAGATCTTGGGGAAGTTATTTGTTCCATGTTGGCCTGTTTATCAGTCAGATGAACAGATGTCACCCTTTACCTCTAATTTTACCTCAGATGTTACTAAAAACAAAGGAAAGAGAAAAAAAAAGGAGAGATGTTTGGTGTGAATGAGCACATGGTGCATGCAGTCTTCAAGAGAGTACAAGCATCTGAGACCACTAGTGTTGTCCTTTGATTATACCGCATTATACCACAATGGGAGAAAGGTTATCAAACGCAAAGAGACAATTATTGTTAAGGGAAGTTGCAATGATGACCACCAAGACTTAAAAGTCATAACATGATTCATAATGATCCTTTGTAACCAAACACATGGTTACTTTTTTGTTTCCAAAAAGAAAAAAGGAGAATATGTGTCTAGCATTCAGCACCCTCACATTTGCACATACATGTATTTTTCCCATATTCCCAAGTATTTTCAATATATATCATAGAAATCCTCATATCCCACCACTGTACTTGTTGAATCAGTCAAGGTGCTTACAACTGAGGCCTCTGAGCGAGTCTATTCTACCTAATGTACGCAGTGACTGCACTGTCCCCAAAGAAAAACAAAACAGGACCCCATGGTAACCAATCTGTTGATGTGTCTCGGCCTCTGTGTGAGACACCACCAAAAAATTTAAGTGCAATGAACAATGTTTCAAAATTTATTTTTGTACTGGTTAGTCATGTTAGTATACACTAAGCAGTAATGGAAAAGTGTTGAAACTGAATACTGTAGTGTGTTGCTGTGCTCGACATCAAGCAGAACAGAAAAACGGGAACACAAAGTTGTCTTTGAGCAGCAGCACGTAGCTCGCAGGTGCGACATTTGAACGCGTCTGCTGCAGACTGTTGACGCTGTGATTAGAAAAACACACATTAACTTGAAAATGAGGCGATGCGGTTTTTATATTGCTTTAAGTGGAAGGTCAAAAAAAGCTGCTATTTTTACGCTATTCTATTCAAACGTTCCCACTGCCTGTTGTCAACTGGAGTGGTTGCGTGATTTAGAAACAAAGCTCCAAGTTTCTGTTCCACCCAGGGTGCGGAAGATTTTGTAAATTTAAAGCTGGCATTAAAGATGAATTTGCCCCGAGACATTTTTAAAAATGTTGCTGGTGATGTACCTTGCGTTTCTATGTTTTATTTTGCTGATTGGCAGGATACATTTCTACTTCCAGTTAATAAATAAATAAAGGTGCATTAATAGTTCATTTAGACCAAGAAATGGATTACTGGGACAAAAAAAAAAAATCCTTTCGTTTTTGTAGGAATTCCTTAGAATACAGGTACAGGGATATTTGTTTACAGTATGTCTTTTTGTTTCACCTTACAAATTGCTACATTGCATAAAAGACAAGCACACCAGTTCCACTACAGAAAGGTGCATCACTTCCAAAATTAAATACAACAAGAAAATTTGGGCTTTTTCTGTTAAGTGAAAAAACTTAAATAAGGCCATAATGGTTATATAATATGTATTAAATGCAATAAGCTTTAAGTCATTAAAAAATCATCACGAAGTAAAAAAGATGTTGATTTTTGCAGCTTTAAAAAAAACTACAGTCAACAAATTTAAATAACACATGGAATGTACTGAGAATCCCAGAAAGGTAATACAAGTGTAAGTGATGGATATACCTTTTTTAGTATAAGGAAACCAGTGCTGACCGAGTTTCGTTGTCTCAAATGCAGCATCACCTGGGTGGACTTTAAATTATGGCAGAATGAACCTTTCAGAAGCTTCACCATATTATTTACATTTTAAGTTTAGCCAAGAATTTTTATCCAAAGTGACTTAAAGTGAGTGAAGAGACAGTAGGGTTCAGAGTCAGGACATGCAACTGCTGATGAACACAAGCCTCGATCTCCTGGTTATGGGACATTGTCTTTACTACTAGGCCAGCCTGCCAACATTGTTGGTCCTCTTAATTTTTTAATTTTTTTTTAAAGACGCCCTGTCACAATGGCAGGAAATCCAAACCCAGTCACACGACTGCCATCCCCTGATTCAAAACCTTTGTCTTTCTCTCTCACACACACACACTCACACACACTCTCTCCACAAATCTGATAGATCCTCACACACAGACACACGTGTTCACTCGATGGTGCAGAACTAGTAAAGCCATTGCACACAGTTTGCTGCTTCTGGTTCAGAAATGGTGTTAGAGTACAGTACTGACAGTCATGCGATCACAATTGCAGGCCGCATTCTTACATCTTAATAAATGTGCCTTTTGATTTGAGTAATCAATAACTTATGATTTCTAAGTAACTCTGTATTAAGTACTATTTCCTTTTTTGATTATTAATTTCTGCCAATGTGCATATTTTCAAATGTACGTATTTATTAGTTTCAAAGTAATTAATGAGATATTACCTGTTTATTTATTTATTGAGATATTTATTCTGATTCTTTATTTTTTTGAGACAGGTTTTTATCTTCTGTGCTGTCTTACTTCTGACTTTGTGCCAATGTGCTGCTTTGAGGTGTTACATATCGTGGGTTTGTATCATTATTAAACCCTCACTCTATATTTTAAAAGCGTTTTCTTCTTTCTCATGTGTGCATGTATAAAACTCACTGTGCCGTTTCCCAAACACAGGTTCAAATTGCTTTATAACTGTTCCATAGAGCTGTGGAAGGAATCTTTTTTTTTTTTTAAAGAAAAAAGCCTATAAATGTATTATTTTGTTAAACACACATTTATTTCTTGCCTTTGATTATTACTCAAATATTTATATTATATTTTGTAAAAAAAAAAAAAAAAAAAAAAAAAATGAAGGAGACTAGTTTTATAAATCTGCATCTCTCCTACAGGAACAGGACTTTACAGTAAGCTACAACAGAATATAACAAGTGACCACTAGAGGGCAGGAACATTGCCTTAAAAAAAGATCCACAAGTATTAAAAAGGGAGGAAGAAGACACTAATTTTCCATTAAAATAAAAACAAAACAAAAAACAAAACAACACCCCCCACAACCACCACCAAAACTGTGGTTAGCTGTTATCCTTTGGATGCAGGGGTCCATTACTTTGCAGAATACATGTGCTGCCTTTTATGTTTGAGGATCTCAGTGGAGGTGAGGGTCAGGTCTTGATTGCACACATCACAGTGATAAACTCTGGTAAGGCTTGACACTGATGAAGAGCCTGCTTTTCCACCCTCTGGCTCTGAAATAAAATACAAAATAAAAACACAAAAAGTTGGCAAACGCACTCACACTTCGTATCAAATTCTTTAGCTCTTCTAAAATAAAGTATGTGGCCTAACGCTTAATGTGTCAAACCAATCAGAGTACAAAAGAAATTCCTGACCTTCCTCAGGCTGCTGCTGTTCTCCAGCCGGCCTGCAGGAAGCTTCATGATGCATTCTTTCCAGTGGAGTTAGAGGCATGTACAGGTCACAGTTGGGACAGCTCCAGAAAGTACGTAAGCACTCACTGTAGAGGTCTTTTGAATCCTGCGAATCATAATTTAGAAATGCTAAAATAACGCGTAGATTTAATAAGACAAGCTGCGCGGTTTGATTCCAAAATGATCTGTTTTCATGCATGAACAAAATACTCGAGACATTAAACCTAGAACTGACCATCTATTGTTTTAATTTGTAATTGTATTTTTTCATTATAACTTGGTTGAGGAAATGGCACGTTATAATCCATACACAGCCAAACTGCAGGTCTTTAACTATTGATGCAGTTAGGTTAAAATCCTGGTTTTGATGTACACTCTGCATCTATACTTTAATATTACTTTAAAATCTTACTTCTCACGTTCAAATGTATCCATAAATCTGCTCCTTCTTATTTGTGTGACCTGCTCCATATCACCACTGTTTCCCGCCCTCTCAGATCATCATCTGCTACTCATCTTACCGTTCCGTCCTCACACCTTATCACTATGGGGAACAGAGCTTTCAGTCGCTCTGCTCCCCGGCTCTGGAACTCTCTTCCCCCTGCACTAAGAAATATTGACTCCCTCTCCGTATTTAAGACACAGCTCAAAACACACCTGTTTAAACTGGCTTATTTGCTTTAATGCTGATTTTATCTGTTGTCACGCTCTGTTTTGTAATTTTAACTTATTTTATGTATTTTACGACTACTGTTCCTTTTATTAATTGTGTTTTTTGTAAGGCGACCTTGGGTTTCTGAAAGGCGCCCTCAAATAAAATGTATTATTATTATATGAATAACATTGAAAGGAACAGTCTAGTATATAACAGTAATTTTGAGGGTCATTGTCTAAAAAGTTATGGATTCCACGTACAAGGTAAAAGTATTTAAAAAAAAAAAGCATTTTGTCACTTGTATTACTTTGGAAGAGATTAGATTTCTGGCATAGCTTTTGATTTTGGAGGTTGATAAGTGAAACAATATATAAGGAACTCTCAAATAACTTTTTAAAAACCCCAGACAAACCTACAGTCATGAAAAAGAAATTTCCAATGTCTTTCATTTCTGTGGTTTCAAATATCAGGATATATTAAAAAAAAAATTACCTGGTCCTAACTAGATTCTTTCTCATGAGAGGTTTAAGCATAGCCCTCTTAAGGTCCTGCCAGCATTTCAAGTGGGCTGAGGTCTGAACTTTGGCAGGGCTATTCCAGCACCTTGATTCTTTTCTTATTCAGCCAGTCTGCTGTAGATGATCAGTTAGCCAAGCTTTAGCTGTCAGATAGATGGCGTCACATCTGACTCCAGTAAACTTTGTTATACACAGGAAGACTCCAGACCAGCAAACATCCAAACCTACTTTAACACAGGTGGTCACACTTGCAGATGTTCAATTAATCAAGTGCATTTGATTAACAACTGGCTGCTACTTTCTATCTTAATTCACATGGAAGCAATTTAGGTAATTATTACTTTTATTATATTTATATATATGTTTTATTTTCTTAATTTTGGGATGTTTTTAGGATGTTTTAGAGACCAGATGATTTTTTTAAATTATGTTCTGATATGTAAAATTGTCCTTCTTTCAACTTCCATTGCTATATAGGGAATGTAATATGTAAATACAGCCCTAAGAGCTGAAACAATAATTTCTTTGAAACTTTAACTCAATGCATTTCTGAATTGCTGCTGTTTTTAGACAAACTCACAGCCAGACAGTTGTAGGTGAAAAAGTTGGTGACACGTAGGCCTCCTTTAATGGGGTCTGGCTTGGCCTCGGCTCCTGGAAACAGCGGGTTTAAATCTCCAGCTTTAGTGTTCGACGACACAGACTCAGACTGAGGACCAATGTACAGGTTCTGGGTCTGGAAAGCTGAGAGTCGCCGAAGGCTATAACTGACCTGTCAGGGAAAGTAAAAAATACACAAAAAACCATTTTGATTATTAACGTATTGGTCTTATGTACATTGTTTACATTTTATCAGCTGTTTAGTGATGTGCTAAATTGTTTCTGGAACAAATGGGCGATTCTTCTGACTTTATCGTTCTGCTTCTCTGTGTTCTAGGATCATCAAGTGAAGGCCATTATACAGTAATAACCAAGCTGGCACATCAGTACCTCAGTGTAGAGCAGAAAGCGGACCAGGCTTTCACTCAGCTTTTGCACAACTCTGCGGGACACCCCCTGCCCGGCTGCTGCTCCCCCTGTTGAGTTCTGTCCCAGCTGGGCCTGCAGCAGGCGCTCCCACTCAGCCCTGAGAGTAAGCGCTGTGGACAGCACCTTCAGAGCCTCCTCTGGCTCCTTCAGCTCCAACTCCAGCCAGCCGTCCACCACTAGTCGCGTACAGTCAGCGTTAGTGTCCACTGAGTTTGCTACCAGCAGCAGCGCCTGGTGAACAAATTAGAAATGATTAATACATCATATATGAACTGGCAAAAACTGGAAGTAATGGAAGAGACGATGAAATAAAACCATAACCTGACACAGAATCCCCCATAAAGTTTTCTTTTCCACAGCCAATATTCATCCCTATATTCTGATGTTCCTCTCTTTATTAAACCTGCACACTGACAACATTGTGCCACAGTTCTTGCTACTTAATATGTTACTAAGTGAAAAAAATAAAATAAACTGGAAGAAAGGAATACACCATCCAGTTTAATTTACTGTCCCATGTGTGGTGCGTACCCAAATAGCACATCGTAATACAAAGAGAATACCATGTAATCCAGTTTAGTTTAATTTAAAGCACTGGAGCGAGTGCATTAATGGATTTCAAGAAAATATTACTATGTTAAGTATTTGTCCCCACTTCTGACAACACATTTCTTGCAAGCAAATGTTTACATATTTTCCTTAGGGATTAATGAAGTATTCTGATTCTGATTGCTCCCATTAGGAGTTAAGAGGCTAAATAACGTCTAAAAATAGACTTTATTAACAAATCATCAGCAAGTGTGAGCATCTCTGTAAAAGACCAAGTATTGTCAGTTTGCTGGTCTGGAGCCTTCAGGTGTGTGTCATCACAGTGTCACAGTCTTCCTGACAGTGGAGGTCCCAGCAAATTCACCCCAAGATCAGACTGAGCAATGCTCAGAGAAACTGTAAAAACCCCATAAGCTACATCTCAGACTCTACAGACCTCAGTTAGCATGTTAAAAATTAAAGTTCAAGTACAATTAGAAAAGAATGGAACAAGTGTAGATTATTTGGAAGGACTGCCAGGAGAAAACCTCTTCTCTCTGAAAGAGCACTTAGCATGGTGTAGTTTTGTAACGTTATGTTGCATGATATATAAAAATATGAATGTCACAGAACATTAGGGTGTAATTTAATGTGAGCCATTCAATAAAGTGCCTTTTTTTGGTAAAAAAAAAAATAATTGTCCTACTCTGAATCGGTAATAGCATCAAACTGGATTCGTTTTGTTTACATTCACAATATCAGGTGTCTTTAAGATAATAAAGAGCGTTATTATCCAACATGTTTTTTTTGTTTAAATGTAGTGGTTTGTGGAGGAAATAGGGATATCCCACATCAGGTACTAACTTGCAGCGCTGGAACCCGCACACAGTTTGACAAATAGGGTTTGTTGGTCTCCAACAGAGTGACGAAGGCTAACAGCTGGTGTTTGGTGCTGTCTCTCCTATCAGGTCCTGCAGGCAGGAAATACAGATGACATGTGAGATATTCAATAGAAGATCAAAGGTAAACTCAGTGATCAGAGGGCAGAAAAAGAGAGATTTTGTTTAACTGGAAACAAATGAAAGCACTGCTGACCCTTTATTGCCTTGAGCAGGTTACGGTTTCTCTTAGTCATGTAAAGTTGGACTTTATATGACAGGAAATGTGGTTTCATGTAATAAATCAGATTAGTGAAGATGTTGTTTTTGCTAGTTTTAAAGTAACTTTGGAAAAGAAATGCTCCTCCTTGGTATCTGATTGAGAATTTAAGCTGTGAAATGTAAAATTGTTTAGGAAAATCTGTGAAATGCTGTGTTTAAAAATCTTATAATATAATTCTGACCAGATTAACCCACCAATGTAAAAGCGTTATCTAATTACAAGCCAAATTTGTACAAATATCAAAAATACTTTTATT